TAGGAGTGGCGTTTATGAAGCTGCGGTAGTGCGCGATGATATCTATGCAGCTGCGCGTCGATGCTGAGATGAGGCGCGGCTTGGTGCGCAAATGCAACGCGATGTCGGGTGATCGCCTGTGCTACCAGGCGGGCAGCACAAGCAGCCACACAACCCCAAAGCTCACTTGTATGGCTGCTTGTGCTGCCTGCTTGGCAGCACAAGCAGCCACACAACATCCCGCTTCATCTCGCCTCCTAGTCTCGCCTCATCTCGCCTCATCTCGCCTCACCTCGCTTCATCTCGCCTCACCTCGCTTCATCTCGCCTCACCTCGCCTCATCTCGCCTCACACCTCGCCTCATCTCGCCTCACCCGCTCGCCTCATCTCGCCTCACCTCGCCTCATCTCGCCGAGGTACACCTCGCCTCATCTCGCCTCATCTCGCCTCACCTCGCCTCATCTCGCCTCATCTCGCCTCATCTCGCCTCATCTCGCCTCATCTCGCCACTCGCCTCATCTCGCCTCATCTCGCCTCACCTCGCCTCATCTCGCCTGATCTCGCCTCATCTCGCCTCACCTCGCCTCATCTCGCCTCATCTCGCCTCATCGCCCCTCACCTCGCCTCACCTCGCCTCATCTCGCCTCATCTCGCCCCACATTTTTTTCTTTTCTAGACCACTCCGAGACCGACCCAAGACCGACCCGAGACCCGAGATCGACCCGAGATCGACCCGAGATCGACCCGAGATCGACCCGAGATCGACTCGAGATCGACCCGAGATCGACCCGAGATCGACCCGAGATCGGCACGAGCGATCAACCCAACAATGCCCCAGAGCCCCCTCCGGGGGGACCCCCCCTCACCCCGAGTGTCCGTGTCCTTCGCGAGTCACCGATGGGGAGCGGGGGGGGGTGCGAGATGCACAGGGGAGGCTGGGGAGGGGGGGGTCCACTCTGAAGACTGCCGACCGCGGGGGGGTTTTGTCCCACAGGGTTTTACCCTCCGCGTGAGGATCGGCGCGGCGAGGGGGTAGGTTCGAATTCGCCGCGCAACATTTCACCCCCACAGGACCCCGCCCACCCCCCCTCATGGTCCCACCTAGTACCCCAATGAGCCTTCGCACCCCCTCCTTGCGCAGTGTCCCCCACTATGTGTCGCCGTTATCGGGGCACGCTATCCTGTGTAGTCAGGGCAAGTGGGGGCGGGGGGCACTCCCATCTCTCCTGTGTACGGGTGGTGACTGTCTCTAGTCTCGGAGGGGGGCTTGAAGCTAAGAATATTTTATTTTTGCGCGAGGAGAGCTCGATAGAAGACTCGAGGGGCCAAGATATCCATCTCGTCTCAGAGTTTGACCGTTTTTATTTTGGGGTTTTGGATTTTCTATGATTCGTTGTTTATTTATTTATTTAAGTCTGATATAATTCTACATGGAGGAACGCCCGCCGTTTCAAAATTACTTTCCGCGTATTTATGTTATCAACCCAGATTTGATCATTACTGCTCGACGAGCGCACTCCAAGTGCTCCAAGTGCGCACCCAACAGGACACGACACCGATCAAGCATTGCCGACAAGGCTTGCCGACTCGTAGGGGGTTAGTAGCATTTTTGGAGCCTCCCAACTTCTGTGCAAGTGTGCAATCCTAAGCGAAGTCTCACGGGTGTACACGCTTCTGCATTACTAAGGTCCAACTCCAAGCTCACGACATATTTCTGCAAGACGGTAGACGGCTGCCGAGGGATGGGCCCACAGAATAGGTGCCGAGGTAGGCGACGCGGGCCTTACCGCCGCCGTCCTGCTCCTCCTCGTACCAAACGCGGATCCGCGCGCCGGCCTCCACCTCGCGTACTGTCTTGCCACGCAGGTCCATCTGAGCGAGCGACTAGCACCGACCCGCCCGTCGCCACAGACGGCGGGGCGCGAGGCGGTTGCGAGTTGTTACGCTCACTCCACGGACCGAGGCCGCATCCTCGCAGTGATCGAGTCGGCGTACGGATACGATACGCCTTTCGACCGCCTCGTCCGCAAGTTGCTCTCGACAGAGCGCCTTAGCACAGAGTTTGGGGACACACGCAGATCCCACCTCACTACTACCAGAGGCACCATGGTGTTGGGATGAGTTTAGTGTAAATAAATAACACATAGGCCATCCCGGCTGCTGCCGCCGCCCCTCTCGACGCCGCTCCCCTCGCCGCCGGTAGCGACCGCGCCGCCGACGTCGGTCGCGCTGGACGGCAGCGCGTCCCCAGCCCCGCCGTCGCTCTTCTCGCCGTCGCTCGCCTCACCGCTGGTATTAGGGGCCGCGCTGCCGGTGCCGAGCGTCACCTGCATCCACGTCTCTTCCTCTAAGGAGAGGAGAGGCTCGGCGTCCGGATAGCCGTCGTACTCGACCGCATCCACACGAGCCGGCCGCCCGAACCCTCCTCCCGCCACGTGATGGTGGCCGACCACCACCCTGCTCGCCGAGGATCTCGACGTGCGTGCCTGTCTCGACGACAGCGTGCCCGGCCAGCCTCGCCGGCGCGTCCAAGCGCAGCCGCTCCGCCGCGCCTCCTGCGTCTCGGCGGTCCACCAACGACGCCGTCGCTGTCCTCGCCGACGTGACCGTGATCCGGAGGCGCCCACCCACGCCATTGGATGCAGCCGAGATGCAAAATCCTCAACCGCCGTTTTTTATGACCAATGCGAGCCGTCCCCCCTTAACCCCCCTCTTGGACGCGTCCACCCTCCGTCCACGAATCGAGCCGTCCCCTCTTTTACATACATAAAAACGGCGCGTTTCACCGACACACACATTTCGGCTCACCCCCTCCCCTTGCCCCATTGGATGCTGGCATCGTCGTGCTTTGCGTCCCGCACGCCCACGAGCTGCATCTGGAAGCACAGCGTCGCGTTCGGGGGCACGACGTACCCGCCCGCGTCATCCTGGATGCCGCCCTTGCGGTACGCCCACCGCGGCCCGATCGTCAGCTCCGCCTTCTCGCCGAGCGTCATGCGCTTGAGCGCCTCGTCCCACCCGCGGATCGCCTTGCCGCCGCCGTGCTGGAAGTGGAGCGGTCTATGCTTCTTCAGCTTGCTGTCCCACGTCGAGTCGAACTGCTTCCCCGAGAGGTCCTTGCCGCCGTGCTCAGTCCCCGGAGCAAACGTGCCCGTGTAGCAGCAGTAGACGTAGTCGCCCTTGGAGGGCGCGGTCTCGCCATCGCCCTTTTTGAGCTGCTTGAACTCCAGGTGGCTCTCGCCATCCTCCTCCTCCGCAGCGCCCGCACCCGCAGCACCCTTCACCTTGGCGGCCGCTCGCGCCTCTGCCGCCTCTTCTGCCGCTGCGCGCGCCGACTCCTCCTCCTCGAGCCGCTTCGCGTGCGCCGCGTCCTCCTCCGATGCCGCCGCCGCCCTGCCTCCCTCGATTTGCGACTTCTTGGCCGCCACGTATGTATCGTCGTTCTCGAGCGTATAGATCTGCTTGTTGACCGCCGTGCGCTCCTTCTTGTTGGCCTTGCCCTCGAGCTCGGGCAGCCGCGCGTTGAGCGCAGCCAGCTGCGCTTCGACCTCTTCGACGATCCCCATCTGTGGGCGCGAGGAGGCGAGCGAGCGCGGCGTACGCAAGCGGTGGCGAGTAGGTGAGAAAAAAGCGATCTAAGAAGAAACATAGCTGACCGTTGCTGTCAGACGGGTGATCGCAGAACGAGGCAGAGGAGAGCGACGCGACAGAGGAAGAAGCGACAAGGGAGAGAACGACGAGAGTGGGACGACCGCGAGGTGGCATGAAGCTTGAAGGTTGCAGCGAGAATCGGCGAGAGACTGCGAAGAGAGATAGGAAGAGGCGGACGCCCAAGGGTGGGCGACGGCTAGCGCACCACACCCCCCTCTCCTTAAAATCCCTGTGTGGTGGCGGCGTGCCGTCCTCCCATCCCTCCCTTGCGATGTCCGTTTTCTTTCTTTCTTTAGACGGGTGATTATAATTGAATAGTTAGAGGCTGCGCAGGCCGTCCCGTTTGCTGTTTGCATAAAAAACGCCTGTTGCGCTGCGCGCGCGCGCCGGCGGGGCCGTCTGTCTCACTCACGTGCCGCAATATGTGTCACACACGGCGGCTTCTGCCACCTCTCGATTGGTTCCACTTTCTACGCACACCCACCGGGGAAGGGGCGCTTGGCAGCGGGGGCGGGGGCGGGGGCGGGGGCGGGGGCGGGGGCGCGCAGCGCGCGGCGGCCGCGCGCGCGCATCAGCGGGTAGGGGTGGGGAAGACGGCGAGGAGGGCGAGGGGGCGGCGGCGGCGGCGGCGGCGGCAGCGCGCGCGCGGCGCGCGCGACGGAGGGGCGGAGCAGCGACCGCTGCAGCGGTCGCTGCTCCGTCTGTGACAGACGCGCGCTCTGCCGCTGCACAGAGCGCGCGTCAGGGCAAGGGCCAAGGGGCATGCGTGGCGGCGCGGGACGCGCGGCGGCGGCGGCGAGCAGCCGAGCGCTCCGTGAGCGGTGAGACGGCCGGGCGAGGGCGCGGCGGGTGACGGGTCAAGGGAGCAGCCCACACCCGGCGTCGCTTTTTGAGCGACGCCTGTGGTACGCCTGCGCAGGGGCCGCAGGGCGGTCAAGTTGTGGGGCGAGGCGGTGCCGGCCGCGGGCCGGGTGCAAGGCGCCGGCCTCGGGGCCGCCTCGGCGCGCCGCACGGGCGCGGCGGGCCTCTGAGCGGGAGCCGAAGGTTTGCTGCGGTAGGTGGGGTGGTGGGGTTGCTTGACTTTGCCGCAGAGGCCGTCCCTAGCTGTGAACAGCAAAACGGGACAGTATTTTAACAACAGAACACCCTCGCACGACACTGGACGCGGGACTGGCGCGCGCTGGCCAGGCGCTGGCACGGACACGGGCACACCACTGGAGCCGCGCGTGCAAGTAAGGCGCGGGTGTTCGTATCTGCAGCCTCCGTCCTCCGTGCACAGCTCGATCACCTGCTTGTTGTTGTTCGGGCCCTGCAGCAGCTCGATCCGCGCGCCTTCGCCCTCCTAGCAGCAGCGAGTCGCCCACGGCATCTTGAACAGGGTGAGGGTGCCGCGGCCGCGGACGAACTTGCGGGCGAGAATCTCGCGCGGAGGCGGCGCGGGCGGGGGCGGGAGACTCGCGCCTCCGACCAGGGAGGCCATCGGCAGCGAGAGCCCCGCGGCCTCCCGCGCCGCCGCCGCCGCCGCCTCCCGCGCGCGCGCCTCCTCAGTCTTGGCCGCCTCGGCCTCGGCCAGCCGCCTCGCAGCCTCCTCCTGTCGCGCCTCCTCCTCGCGCCGCGCCTGCTGCTGCGCCTCGCGCCTCGCCCGCTCGCGCGCCGCCGCCTCCCTCTCCGCCGCCCACCTCGCCTCGCGTGCGGCGCGCTCCTTGTCCAGGGGCCGCGCCGACAGGCTGAGCTTTCCCTTGAGCGGGTCCACCCTCTTGACAAAGAGGTCGAGCCGCTGGCCGACGCACAGGCGCGCCAGCTGAAGCTCAGCCGCCTCTGACACGTGAAGCAGGCCGTCCCTGGAGCATCCAACATCGACAAAGGCGCCAAAGGTGGTGAGGCCGCGGACGACGCCGCGAACTGCCGCGCCGTCGGCGAGGGTGCAGATGTCGGGGCGCCGGCCGCGAAGGCTCGTCGAGGCGGCCGAGGCGGTCGAGCCGCCGCCGAGAGAGCGCGCCGTTCGGGTCGAGGTGCTGCTCACGATGCTGCTTGCGTGAGAGGGCGCGGGTGATGCCGCCCTCTTTGCGGATCGCTTGCGCCGCGAGGCGGCTGCCGGCAGCCATCCGCCGTCATCTTGGTCTTTCTTGCCGGTCTCGTGAACTTGGAAATGGTTGTTTGCATTGTGGGTGGCAACGCGATTTGAAACTCGAGCCGCGGTGGCCCGAGACGGTCGGCGCGTCAGCCGCCGTTTTGTGTGAGGTTGCGTACTCACTCAGGCGTCCTGCCCACGGGGAAGTCTTTTGCTCCGAGCGACGCAAACGCGCCGCGCCATTACGAGGTCCTTCTCCAAGCTTTCGCCCCTCTTGACAGCCGAGGAAAGATCGTCACGCTTGATGGAGCGCCGCAGTCCTTGGCCCTCGCCGTGCCGGTCTGGCCCCGTGTACTCACAGGCAGGCCGAGATCCGATCGCCGACTTCTCGCTTTTCAAGCCACAGAGCGCGACGCGGAGCCGCGAGCAAGGCTCCGACGTCGCTCGGACAGGTCGAGACCTGAGGTGGACGTGTCCTTGTGCCTCTTCGCAAAAAAGAAGAAACAAACATGCGGGGGACGCGCCTCGGCTTACCTTACCTACCTGAAACCCCTAAAAAACGGCTACCGAAATGGGGTGCCCCCGGGTGCTCAGCTCACCGACGGCCGGGCGGGCCGCCCGCCCACGCGCCGCAATTCACACGACAGACAAGGCGCAGGCGACAGGAAGACCCTCAATGACCACGCCGGTCCGGACCGATGGCGCTCGGTGTGGAGCAAGAGATGTTACCCGGGGGATGCCCCGCGCGCCTGACCCAGGCGCGAAAACGAATCTGCGAGGCGTGGCCGCTCATGCGGCCCGATGGGGAGGAGCGGGGCGGACTACGGGGATCGGCTTCTTACACAGCCCTTCCTTGCAGCGAGCCCCCCTCCAACACCCACCCACCCACCCGCGCTAGGTCTCGGGGGACGCAGGGGTCAGCGCGTCAGCCCCGCGCGACCTCGGGAACTAGCCGGGGCAGTCGGAGAAGGTGCAACTCCGTGCACTGACGGTTCCACCTCGGCCGCCTCGACAGAAGACCGGAACATTTTTTCCAAGCGCCGCCATCGCGGAGAGCTCCCTTCGCGAGCGAGTGACAGCCCGTGACAGCAGGAAGATGCTCTGCTGCCACCTGACCACCGCCGCCCTCGCCGTGCTGATCGGAGCCTCGGTGTGGGCCGGTCTGCTCTTCCCGCCTCTCCCTCCCCGCTCGACCGACCCGGACGTCGCCGCGCTGAAGGACGCCTTCGCAGCGCAGATAGCTGCGACCGCCGGCCTCACCATCTCCGGTGTGGGCGAGCTGAAGCGCGACAGAGACACCGCGGGCTGGTCGCTGCTCGCGGACCACTTTGGCTCGAACCCAAACACGCCGTACATGTTCACGGTCCTCCCGTTCCTGGGCTTTGCACTGCCGAGCCCGATCATGCACGTGCGGCAGCGAGATGCAGTCGTGCTGCTGGCGCGCCGGCCTCCCAGCGCCGAATACTTTTCCTTCACCACCTTCGCCGCGTGGACGCCGCGGCGAGGCGTCGTCTTCGGCAGCCTCGCCGACAGCGTGAATCACCTCAGCCTGAACGCATCGGCCTCTGGCCTCTTTGCCCACATCGTCACGTCGAACCGGCGCACGTACTCGCTGGTCGAGCGGGCGCTGGTCGCGAGCGGGCTGCCTGCCGCCGCCATCAACCTGGTGGTGATCCCGGCCCACCTGCACGCCGAGTGGACGCAGTTCGAGACGGTGCTGCGGCTGTTCCGATTCGCAAACCAGACAGAGGGCAGCCTCTACCTGCGCTCGCACCACCCTCTGCTCTACCTGTCCGCGAGCCACGCCGACGAGGCCGCTCCCCCCCCCCCCCCCGGATGTTTCTCACTGACTCTGTGTGCTCGAATACGCCACGTCCAAGCCGCACGGCCACAGCACGCACACAGGCAGAATGCCCGAGATTGCCGGCGCTGCACAAGAGCGTCCTCTCCCCGCCCGCAGGCCGCCCTCCCGCCGCGCGGCTACTCGGAGCGGCGCCGCCCAGGCAGCGCCGACGAGCGCGGCCTCGCCAGCGCCTTCAAGGCGCACGGCCTCGCCGCCCTCGCCGCGGTCGGCGCAGCCTTTGGGCGGCTGCAGCGCGGGGAGGCGGCGGAGGCGACGGCGTTCGCCCCGCTGATGATCCGCGGGCCGACAGCCTGGTAGATGCGGGACACAGGGTCCGTCGAGGGGAGGCGTACTCGGCTGGGTTCGAGCGCATTCGCTGTACTCGTGACAGTGATGCACGCCACATCTCACCGCTGTACTCGTAGCTGACAGTGATACACACCACACCTCACCGCACTCGCTGACTCAACTGACTCTTGCGCACACACACTGCCAGGCTCGACTGCCTCGCCAACCGAACCGAGTGCCTCGGCGACTGCCCTGATGCGGCCTACTTTGGGCCTCACATCTCTGCCGACTCGGACGCCATCCCGCTGCTCCGGCGCTCGAGTCGTAGATGCGGCGCCACACGGCCTGTCTGTCTCAGCTAGCACCCGCCTGTCTGTCTCAGCTAGCACCCGCCTGTCTGTCTCAGCTAGCACCCGCCTGTCTGTCTCAGCTAGCACCCGCCTGTCTGTCTCAGCTAGCACCCGCCTGTCTGTCTCAGCTAGCACCCGCCTGTCTGTCTCAGCTAGCACCCGCCTGTCTGTCACCCGCCTGTCTGTCTCAGCTAGCACCCGCCTGTCTGTCTCAGCTAGCACCCGCCTGTCTGTCTCAGCTAGCACCCGCCTGTCTGTCTCAGCTAGCACCCGCCTGTCTGTCTCAGCTAGCACCCGCCTGTCTGTCTCAGCTAGCACCCGCCTGTCTGTCTCAGCTAGCACCCGCCTGTCTGTCTCAGCTAGCACCCGCCTGTCTGTCTCAGCTAGCACCCGCCTGTCTGTCTCAGCTAGCACCCGCCTGTCTGTCTCAGCTAGCTGTCTCTGGCACCCTCGGGAGCCACGCGCGACAGGCGCAGTGCAGTGCGCGGTGCTCAGTTCACAGCTCTGCGGCGTCACACTGCACCGCATCTCGGGGTCATCTCGCGTCATCTCGCGTCATCTCGGGTGCACCGTAGCCTCTCGAGTGACGCCGCGCTGCACCTGGTGACGATGGTCAACCACCGGGCGGCAAACGCGAGCGTGTACGCCTCCATCGCCGTGCTCCGGCCCGCCGACCGAGCCGCGAAGACCCTCAGCAAGGGCCGCATGGCGGTCCGACCACAACTTGGCTCCTCTGGCGGCAGGGCTGTGGGCGGCGTCTCTTCACACGCCTCGCTGTGAGCAGGTCCGCGCCACACCACTCGGCTTCACGAGCTTCGACTGGCCGGCCGCAGGCGCCTTTGTCACGTGGGCGTTCACGAGGAACCCGCAGCACTGCGCCCGCCTCGAGGCCGCTGCGCCGGGGGAGGGGGCGGGGGAGGGGGCGGCCCGCTTGGTGGACGGGTGCGCCGCCCTCGATGCGGTAGTCGCAGCCACGCGTTGCACCGTCTCCACGCCGCCGCCTCTCCTCCCCTGTCTACCCCCGCAGGTGCACCGTGCTGCCCGACGCGGCAGTCGCGCGCGAGGAGCATTTCACCTACTGCGAGCGGCTCTACCTCAACCCGCTCTCCGCCACCGGCCCTGCCTGGGACGCCGTCCTACCCGCCCGCCTCTACACGCTCCGACTCGACGAGTGGCAACTCGCGCCGCCGCCGCCGCCACCGCCGCGGCTGCCGCGGCTGCCGCGCTGGCTCCGCCTCTCTCGCCGCTCTCGCCCTGCGGTCGGCGGAGGAGGGCTGCCCCGCGGCATTCCTCCGCCTCTGCCGCTGGCTATGCCGCCGCCAGGCGCGCACAGGGACGCGCTCGCGTGTCACGCCCAGGACACTCCCACAAGCACACACCGCGTGGTGCCACTTCGCCTCCCCGATACGGCTGCGACAGCTACCGTCGAGAGAAGACTGGGACGCGAGGTGTATGGCATCCGCACGGCTGCTCGGCACCCGCGCAGGTTCTTCGCTTCGCTTCTTCCACATCATCAAGACGGGCGGCGAGTCGCTCGAGCTGCACCTCGCCGCCCACCCGCATCCGCCTCTCGACTACTCGCACTGCCGCCGCGCCGCCACCGGCTCCGGCTGGCGACGCAACCTCTCCACCTCGGCGGGCGCGGCGTGCGCGGCGGCGGCGGCGAGCGTGAGCGGCGTGCTCTGCGCTGCCAACTGCGAGTGCTGCGCCTCGGATGTGCGGGTCGGTGGCGGGTTCAACGGCCTGCTTATTCGCTCGCCGCGGGCGCATCTCCTCTCCCTCTTCTCGCACTGCCACACGGCGCACACGCGAAACACCTGGTCGCGCGTGGCGGCCGACCTGCCGCAGTACGCCGCTGAAGTCGTCCTCCGCGCGACCGAGCACGCGTGCGGCAGCTACTGCGGGACGAGCTTCGACGGGAACTGGTCGGCCGCCCTCGCCGAGGCTCTCGCTGCCCGGCCGCGCACGGAGGCGCTGTCCGTGCTCCCGCTGCACAACACGCAGGCGCACGCTCTCAGCTGCAGCAGCGCGGGAGGCAGCCTCGGGCAGCACTTCCGCGTACTGGGCGGCGCGGGCGGCGGCGCTGACGCGCTCGAGCCGCCGCTCGAGCCCGCGCTCTCCAGGCTGCACGCGTTCGAGTGGGTCGGCCTCACCGACTTGCTCGAGCCGTCCGTCTGTCTGCTGCACTACCAGGCCAACGGCTCGCTGCCAGCCTCGTGCGACTGCCGCGCTGCCGCCCCGCTTGCCATGCCGCGTTTCAACCACGGAGTTGAGAGGCGCGACCACGAGGCGCTGCCCGCCCACTTGCAAGCCGCCCTCGACGAGCACACGGCGGTGGACGCGCAGCTCTTCGCCGCCGGCCTGCGGCTGCTGCTCGGCCGGCTGAGGAGGGTGGAGGAGGCGACGGGCGCCTCACTGCTGGCGTGCGTGGACTGGACGAAGCTGCACCGCGCCACGTACTACATCCCCGGGCTCTGGGAGGGCCCGGGGGCTTTGTCGAGCGGCAGTGTATAAAAGCCATGTGGGGCCTGCGCCGCCTCGCGCCTGAGAGTGTATACTGTATTTTAATGTGTATGTGCGCCCCATGGTGCGCCCCCGCCGCCCAAGAAATCACTCGTTTCCCTACCCGGGGGGAGGGGGGGGGATAGAGAGTGCGCGGAGAGACACTCTCAAGGGTACAACCATATCTGCACAACGCAGGCGATCCGTGCGCGCGAAAGCATACCAACAACACGGCGATCAAACCGCCCTAGCGGAGCTCCTCCGGGCTCTCCTATCCTCGTCACCGCAACGAGCAGGCTCACGCGGAGTAGTGCGCTGCACCGACAGCGAGTATACGCGGCATGCATGCAACATTTTATATTTGTTTTTGTTTGCCTGCATGATGGGGCGGGTGACGACCCCCAACGAACAGACAGCGGGCGGAGCACCTTCGCTCCCTCTGGCACCGCCTCCGCGCGAAACACACCGTGACGTCAACAAACCTACGAGTAACACCGGCCCACAGCGAGGTCATCAGTCGTGACTATGGAATAAGTGCGCGGCGGTCGCACGTACGTCCGACCCCGTGGTTCGGCCTCCGCCTGCGAGACGACTCTGCATCTCCACGCTTAACCATTCCCTTCGGCACGGAACCCAACCCATACAGCAGACTCCTCTCCGACTCAACGATGGTGGACGCACCAGAGACTAAAGGGCAAGAGCGCCCGTCAGTCATTGAGTTTGAGGCCGAGCCCGAGGCAAAGGGCAGGGCATCTTAGATGGAAAGAGAGTCCCGCGTTCACTGTGGGGGTACCTTGGACGCTAGCAATGTATCCGCTCACACCTCGCTCATCTCCGGCAGGTGAGGCTCAGGAAGCAGACGATGACGGTGACGATGGCGCGGCGGTGTTGCAAGGGCGCGAGGTGAGCGGCGACGGTGACATCCGAGAGGGAAAGGAGCAGGTCAAAATTGCGGAGCCTCCCATCAATCGGCGCCCCTCGGTCCTTCGAGCCGAAAAAGTGGCAAATCAAGCGCTCGATACCTTGCCGCCATGGGCGTTGCGTGCCGCCGACGAAGGCTCGCTGTTCATCACCAGCATTCTTGCAGCCAACATGGCAGGGTTCGCCTCAAAGTACCCGCACGAACACACCCGTACTGCGCGCATGTGCTGCTAGGCATGACCGCCGAAGACCCACGACCCATGCCTCTCGAACCAACTAGGCCCCGACCGCTGCCCCTCACCATGCTAGGGCTGGCGAGAGCCGACCGGTGCCGTGCCCTGGAAGGATAGCAGACTGGTGCTGGGCTCACGGGCGCATTGTCGCACGCCAGCCGCTGAGTAAATGGGCTAAGGCAAACCCTGTCGCTCCACCGGAGGACGACGAGCGGCGCGAGCTTCAGAGGCGGCTGCTGCTCCGCCGCGCCGCCGGAGGGCCGCAGTTTGAGGGCGGGGCGCCGTCGTATTCGGTCAAGATCCGCATGCCAAAGCCGCAGTCCTCGCCCGCTCCGGCCAAGGACCGGTACTACACCCTAATCTGGGATAGCGCCGACGTGCTTGGATTTGAGCAGACGCAAGCAAGAGCTCGTGTGTGGCGGCGGAGCACAGTGGATGGGCGGCCGTACAACGGCGAGGCTCCGCCTGCCATGGACAAGGGGGCAAGCAGCGGTAGTGAGGTGCGCCGCATTACCCCAAGCATCTTCTGGGGACACTTCAGCTTGATCGAACGCTTGGCGCTGTTCTAGGCTCCTGAAGACCCGTTCCGCCGGTCTTCTGCTGCGTATATTGGCTCGAGCACCGACAACGCGAGCGATAACGACATGCTGTGCGCAACTGCCAAATCTGCCGTACGAGACACCAAGCGGACCCAGGCTGTGCCACCGCTGCAGGTACGTTGCCTTTGACTTCATGCACACGATGAACAACTTGTGCACCGGCGTCTGGGGCATCTGGTCGAGGACGCGGCTCATGTCTCGGGCAGAGCTGGGAAAGCAGGTGGCCTCTTTGTTCCGGCTCTCGCCCGTGGACGCCCTTGACGAGAGCGAGTGGGGCGACGGCGACGACGCCGTGGCGCTGCGACTCAAGGTGCCCCCTCAGCCCCCGCTCGCAAAAGCACGTGCACCCCAGTGCACTTTGACTCGCGCCTTGCGCCGCGACTAGGCGCACTTCATCGAGACCTTTGGTGAGCTGCATCTCTTGCGAACCCTCCCTTGGCGAGTGCCACAGCTGTTCTACACATTCGCTCACTTAGGTCAGCTCTGGTTGCTGCTGCGCAACCTGTTCTTTGGCTCCGACTCGCGCTTTGCGCTCCCCGCCGAGTGGAAGAGGCAACTGATCGAGCAAGCTCCCAGCCGGGTGCACCTGACCGCAGAGATTACGGAGCGAGCGCTCGAGCCGCTCACCGCGCGCGAGCTCGAGGACGCTGGTATCAACCGCATCATGTCCACGGGCGTCTCTCACGGCGCCACGCTGGCTCAGGCCTTCCACCTCTTCTACGACCAGGTGTGTGTGGCATGTGACGTCAGAAACTTCCCTCGATCTCGCCCTTCACCCCCTTCCCCTACGGCCGCTTCAGGTCAAGCAGCAGCAAAGGCTCGACAAGGGGCTGCAGCTCGAGATTCATTCGGTCACCTACGGAGCCTACCGTTGGACTGATGCGGAGGGTGCCGCCTACTTTAAGCGAACGACGCACAGCAGCCCCGGCCCCGGCTGCAGCGACGTCGTCGGCGTTGCGCCAGCGCCCACCTGCTGCAGCGAGGCGATTGCTCTGACGAATCAGAACACAAAGTCCGCCAACGTTGTCGACCCGATCCCGCGGATCGACTGGCGAGCGTGGTTCTGCTTCAAACGGAGAGGGTTCGAGAACGCCGTCGTCCCGATTGTTCTGGTGGAGAAGACCGGTGCGTGCATGATCGCCGCACGCGCTCCGCGCCCAGCGCAGGTCACGATCGTCGCATCTGGTAGGCGCGGTCGGCCCCATCTCGGAGCGGGCACGCACAAAGCGCAACCTCTTCTTCGGCAGTCACTTCGCCGCCACGCGAGTGCGAGAGGCCTCTCCCCCCCGGAGCACACCGCCGCCTCTTGCTTGTAGGAAGCAGCTTCTTCCGCGCCCACTACCACATGGCGAGGCATGGCTCGCGGGTCGTCAGAATGATTCTCCTAGCGACCGGGGTCAGTGATGGTCGCTTAGGCGAGCACCTACCGCTCGAGCGTCAAGATGTTGACCACCGCCTTCCAACGCACCCGCTCCTTTCGCGCCGAAGAGCGGAAGCGGCGGGAAGCGGCGGGCAGCGGCACTCTGGCACTCGCCACCCCGGCCCACACAGACCACGTCCCCGAACCCACCCACTCACACCCACCGACTCGCGTCTGTCTGCAGTTGGAACGGGCGACGACTCAGCTCAATCGGGTAAAAACAAACCTGAGGCGACAGTTCACGTCGATGAACCAGGCGCACCCGGACGGCGAGGTATGAGTCTATCATGAGCTGTGCACTGCTCCGAGACAGTGCAGACACGAGAGTCGCGTGTGGCGAGCGAGGGCATATTAATAGAGTGCGAACTCACCCTGAGCGCTCTTGAGACACTTTTCGCGGAGCGTGAAGGGTGGGAAGGCGATACATGGGGGTAGTTATAATCGCTAGGCCAACAGGTTTCGCGCACCCGCGCGCAGATCTCACACAGAGAGTTTCAGTGAGTCACAAAGCTCATGCCTCGCGATCCACGGGATGATACCACGGCTCGACTGGCCCGTCGACTCGCAACTTGTAGTCCAGAAAGAGCTCCTGCGGAAGAGTCGGGTCTGTCAGACGGCGGCAGGTAGCACAAGGAGTCTCCCGGCGGCGCAGGTGCCCTCCCCAGCGGGCCGCACGAGGGGCGCCTCGTCTGCGAGCTGTCGCGTCGCGATGAGGACCGCCGAGCGACAGGCGGGCTCGCCCTCGGTGGGCGGGCGGAAGGGCAGCACGCCGAGCAACGCCTGCAGCTCCTCGTGCTGCCCGCGCTGCAGGTCGAACGGGTAGAGCAGCACATTCGGCCTCGAATGCGGCGGCGGGTGGTTCACCTTGTGGCCAATTGCAAACGCGCCGCCGCCGGCGGGAGACTGCGGCGTCCTGCGCGCGGCGTCTCGTGCCCTGGCCATCTCGAGGACAGCGGCGCTGGCGCCGTCGGGCCTAGGTAGACGCGCGCGCCGGATCGGTATTGCGCACTAGTAGTGAGAGCTGTGCAGCCTGTGCCTCGCATCGAGAAGGACGCCGTCGCGTCGAGCCACGACGTACGCATTGCCCGGAAGCACGATCTTGCTCATCACTGGGAGATCCTCGAGCGCGTACGTGACGCCAGGGTAGCAGGCCAGCACGCTTCCGGCAGGACACGTGCCGATTAGCTGCACTCCGTCACCCGAGGCAGGCCCGGCGCTGCTCGGGCCGACCTGCAGCGCCCACGGGCTGTCGCCAGCAGCGAAGCGCCGAATCTGAGCGCAGATGGAGGCGTGGACGTAATCTGCGGCGCACCCGAGGAGCGAGGCCACCTCGGGCTCAGAGCTCGTCGCGGCCGCCGCCATCGTCGAGAATTTTCTTTCTTTCGGGGAGAGCGGCATTGTGCACGGTGCGGAATGCATTGCCGTTCTTAACGGAGTCGCTTAGGCGGCTCCGGTGGTGAGCCGGTGCGTGTGCCAGTCCGCGCCAGTCCGCGCCCTTGTCGTGCCAGTGTGCTGTGAGAGAGGCTTGTATCTTAAGAATTCTTTCTTTCCACCGATCTTCAACTGAGCCCCCCACAAGGGGACCATCGGTGCCTGCAGAGCGTTTTGGGCCAGTGGGAATGGAAAGGGACCGCGCAGGAGCAGGCCGGAGGCGCCAGATCGCGTTGGGGCACAGAGCGCACTGTTGCTTTTGCTGCGCCTCTTGTGAAAGAGGCGCTCTCGGACACACGACACACGTGAACGACACGGAGGCGCCTGCTTTCTTTCCGACGGAGCGAGTTTTCTTGTAAAATTCTTTGATTGGGTTGCCTGTTTGAAAAAAGGGAAACGAGGGGGAAAGGGTCAAAGGGAGGTACTAGGAGGCTCTCACTTCGACCTGAGTCAGTTCAGTGTTGTTGCTGTTCGCCGCCGGACAGCAGCGCCGCGTCTGCAGGCGCACTCATGCTAGCTGTCTCCGCAACAGCCACCTCTCTGAGTGCCACCTCGTTGCGCTCTCGTCGCTTGCGGGCGAGAACCTAAACATAAAACAGGCCGGAAGATGCGTTTGATTGCGCGCGGAGGCCGGGGTGGGCAAGCGGCGGGGCTCACTCGATCGAGGACTTGCGCCTCGTGCTCGGTGTCGGGCCCAAAATCTGGAGTCAGCTATCGGGCAACAAGGCGGGTAGTGGGCTCAAGGCACAGGGCATAGGGCTGAGTAAGCCTCTGATGTGGGAAGCAGGTAGGCGACCTGCTCAACAAAGAGGCGGTAGTCGTCCCGCCGCGGTGCAAAGTGCAGCAGGAAGAGGTCGGCGACGGTTTTGGCAGCTGAGAGCAGCGCAAATCCGGATATGATCGTCAGCAGCACCGTACGCCACTCAAGCCGCCGCATTCCGCCGGTCTCGACAAGGCTTAGGCCAATTCCGTGCAGGCCGGATATTACGCGGGCCGATTCGTTGAGGGTGTCCACGCGCAGCACGTTCGCGTCCAGCTTGGTGGATCTCGCGCGATAGCTGTAGCCGGAGCCATTGTACACTAGCTCGAGCCGCAAGCTCACCCCACGCACGCGCAGCGACGATGTAGCCTGCAAAGGCGCGTCAAGGTCGAGCCCAGTCACAAAGAGCAGATCTCGCACATGGAGGAGGTCACCGCTGAAGGGGCAGGCAGGATCGGGATCTCGCACTCCGGTGCACGCAACCACTCGCAGAGCGCCGCCATCCCCCGACACGAGGGGCGCCGAGCGAGGCAGAGCAGTGTCGAACCCCTCGCGGCCGCTCGCCGAATCGGCCAGCTCGTGCTGCACAATGACCGCGTGGCGCTCGACGTCTGGAACAAAGGCGTCATCGCGCGTGTGCGGCGCCCACCGCTCGCAGCCGTAAGTATGCGCGCGGCAGGATTTGTTACGCAGCTCGACAATGGATACGAGCCGTGTCCCCACGAGGAGGGTCTGCGGTGTGGCTTCTGCGATTGTCGTCACACGATCAAAAGACATGCAAGGCTTGCGGACGGCAGGCGAAGGGCCATGCACGACAGCCTGTGAGCAGTAGGGAAGCGTGTCAACCGGAACGAGCGATTCGTCCGGCCTTGCAGTCACCTTGAGTGTCCCTCCGAGAGCCTCGAGCTCACCCCACCGTTCTCGGATGTAGAGCTCATACACCCCCACGTAGCCGACAAGAATGGACAGGCTCACGCCATAAAACAGGCAGCCGAGAATCCTGTGGCGCACTCTCACCCTCACGCTTGTCGTGTACGCAAAGCAATCGTCCAGGTCCATATTTGTCCGTACGTAGTTCTTACGAACACACCCGGAGGCGGACTGCTGACGGGGTTTGCGTTGTGCTCGCCGCGTCGTGACGCTAAATGCTCGCAACTGAAGCGGCGCGAAGGACGGACGTCTTCATGGAAAGTTAGAGGTTTGTTGAAGGCAAATCGAAAGTTAGAGGTGGTCACGAAGAAGGGGAGACCCTCGTACGCGTACGGAGGACCACATGCCGTTTCGTGAAGGGTCGGTGCGTGTCGTGCCCCCCTCGGCCTTGGTGAGCAGTCACACCCGTGCTCCCCGCCATCTCCATCGCCTGGTCTGCGATCATCGCATTGCTTATCAGCCACGAGAGGAGAGCGTGGCCGAGGGCTGCATAGACTCGATCGCAAGATCCCAGATTTGCCAACAACATACCTACAAGAAAGTAGTGATCTGATCACCCGAATGCCACGTTCGGATCGCTTCTCATCGCAAACCCCGTCAGCAGTCCTCCTCCGTCCGGGAATGTACGTAAGAGCTACATACACTGAGGGAGAGATCGCTTCGGTGAAGGGGGTGAACCGTGCCATCCTCGATCGCCGCGTGCTAAGCTCGCTTCCGAGCTCTCACGCCGCGCGTAGGGCCCCTAGGGGCCTAGAGAACACAACCCCCTCTCTCTTTTCTCCCAGTAAGCTAAAAGTACGTACGTACGTACACTGATGAGCAAAACACAAACAAACAGAGAGAGAAAGGCACCTCCGTCCGCCTCTGGACAGGGTGGCCCGCACTAACTGACCCCTGTTAAGTAACTCGTTCGCTTTCCACCCACTGTGATTTAGATCTGTGTCTTGATTTGCCAACAAATACCTACAGCATGAGAGAGAGACACACACATGCCGTGAAACAGGGAAGTACACGGGACTTCTGGTGGGGGCCTCCGATGACGGGCGGCTGCCGACCATATCAGAATCGCGTCTCGCCGTGGGGCACAGCAGTGGCGACGCTACCCTCGCCAGACTGCATGCTTTGGAAATCGGGGGTGCCTGCACGACGACAACAAGGAGGTGGTGAGGGCCTTTGCCAGCAAGGCGTGGCTCGCGTGCAAGCTAGAGGTGGACCGGACTCGGAAGGTGCAGCGTAATGACAACAGAGCTTTCAACGGCCGGCGGCGCGTCCTCTTCTCCCCGAGTCGCTACACCGAACTCTTCTTCCTCGACGAAGCGACCGCCCTAGCGGCCGGCCACCGCCCCTGCAGCTGCTGCCGCCGCGCCGCCTTTGATGCATTCATGGTTGAATGGGCGCGGAGCCACCCGTCCGAGGAGAGGTGGTCCGCCGCCCGAGTGGACACCGCTCTGCACACGCAGCGCATCGATGGCGGCGGGCATAAGCGGCGGCATGCAATCAGCGGCGACGTGAAGCATCTTCCCGACGGTGCAATGCTGGAGCTAGTGCGGGAGGGCGAGGAGGAGTCATCCGCGTGGCTGGTCTGGCGAGGCTCGCTTCTCCGCTGGTCGCACCAGGGCTACTGCGAACGAATTTCCAAGGAGTTACCGCTGCCTGGTGGCTCGCTCCTCACGCCGCCTGGGACCATCGCGGTGCTCTCCAGCGGCGCCATCGTCCCGCGCGTGGACCCGAGTGCAGACCTCCTGAGCGCGCAGCCGCCCGGATCCAGTGTTTAGCGGGGATTGGAACACGGCTCTAGATCAGTGAGGAGCAAAGCCTTTCTTTCGTTTCCTTTCCAGCACCCCTCCCGCGACTCGACTGTGAAGTGTGAGCTGTCGGTGCGGAGGGTCCGCCCCACCTGCCCCAATGGTCCGCCCGCAGGCGCATTCGTTTGTATAAAGCCGTACTCGAGTCTCGACTGCGACGCACTGTGCTGTCTCGTCGTGCGAGATTTGCCGATTTCGCGGGCGCCCGGGGTTGTGCTTTTGTGTGTGGCGATAGCGACCTGCGATAGACCAGCGCGCAGAGCGCGCCATCGGAGGTATTTCCTTCTGAATAAGAAGGTATGCGTGACTCAAAACTATGGGGCTTCGGCTTGCCCATCCCGGAGTGGTTTTCGACCCCACACACAAACCCAGTGGTGACGGGATGGTGTCGTGTGGTGAACTCAGGCCCACAGAATCACAGAGAGTGAGACAGTGCATCCCGGGTGATCCGACTTCCCGGATCCCGCTGAACAAGCTCCTCTTTTGGCTCGATCGGTCACACCGCCACAACCGCCGACGTCTCACAGTGAGATGATGGAGGGGGGGGACGACACCGCCTCGGCGGCGTGCACCTCGACCCTGTCCCGTGAGCCGTGTTTGTGAGGACCCCCCAATGAACACACCAGTGAGGGAAGGGCGAGACGATCGCGAGGGTTGACCGTACCAGCCCTATCGGTGCTCAAGTCTCAAGGTCTGTGAACAGGACCCCATTTTGTGACTGTCACTGTCTTGCGGCGGTCCTATTCCCAGCTAAGCCTAAGGGGCCAATTCTTATTAGAGCAAGGTGGCCCTCTCAGAGACGCTCGAGCCGCGATGGTGCGCTTTAGCGTACAGATACAGACAGTGTGAGTGAGTGAGTATTCTTGATACGAAACCACGACGACAACACACCAGTCGACAAGAAATCACGACTCTCACAGTGATTTGGGCTCGGCAGCTTGTCAGCCCTCAGCCGAAGCTGGGGCCGGTCCCGTCGCTGAGAGAGCCCGCGCCGATGAGTTCGACGCGGTCGGGGGGGCCTGCGGAGAGGCCAGCGAGGTGGCGATCGCTGTACTTCATGGTGCCCTCGGTGGGGCGGCTGACAAGCCAGAGGTCGATACTCTGGACGACCCATAGGATGCCACGAATGCCTGAAGGAGAGGGAGGCGAGGCCAGAGGCAGGCTCAGCTGCTCTCGGGTGATCCCGCTTTGGTGGCCGAAGGACCCGATGGTCCTGTCACATTCGTGTTCCGAGTCGTGGGGGTAGAAGAATTCGAGGTAGAATCGAGTCAGCACATCCTTGTAGTACAGCGGACCGCCAGGCTCGCCGGCAGCATCCGCAGGGAGGCAGCATATGAGGCACCAGTTTTCTGGAGTGCTCAGCAGCTGCGGCCGCGGTGGCAGAGTCGGCCGCGGTTCGAGCGAGCAGCTTTTGGCTGCGGGCTCGAATCGCGGAAGGCTCATGCCCTCGCGGAGCGACGCGGGTCGCGCGGCGTGCGCGTGTGCGAAATGCGACAAAAGACGAAAGACGACAGGCGCCTGAGCGACGTCTGAACTCTCCCAGTCGACTCGCATCGGTTGCCTCCATGAACGGCGGAGCTATTCTCGCACACACACAGATACAGACAGTGTCGATGTATGTATGTATGTAGTAAGGTGACGAACAGCCAGGCTCGGACTGGACATCTTGTGCTTTTGTGAACAGCGTCGACTTGTACGAAAACCCGGTAGGTCGCCGAAAGGCCGCGGAGTACAGTGAATGCACGTATGGGCTGCCTGGGCTGCCTGGGCTGTTGCCCGTCGCGCTCCGCGAAGCGAACGTCAGCGGTTGCGCCGTCCTCCTCAGTGACGCCCCAGGACGTGTTTCTGAGGACGCAGCGGGCGCCGCCTCGGGCAGTGCGGGCCGCGGCCTTTGTGGAGATCCCTCTGGATACGGCGCCACCTGCGGAAATGTGGAAGGCACCATCATCTCTGTCGATGGACAGCCTTCCCATGTCCGCCCCGCCGACGCCAGTGCCGCCGCCGCCGCGAGCGCTGCCACCGCGGCAAGGCTCCCACAAGGAGATTGCGGCGGCGCGCGAGCGCGTGCTGCTACGGCAGCCAGCCGTGGTGCAGGCACTTGTACAGGCTAGCGCCGCGGGGACGAAGTGCACAGACGTGGTGCTCGATAGCTTCAACACAGCCGACACCTCGCTTCAGAAGGCCGCGGCGGCGATCCTTGACAAGATAGCCGCCTCGCCGGCCAAGTCACGGCGCAGCACGCGGGCGGCGGCCTCGGCGCGGCTGCGTGCTGCGGTTGCGGCGGATGAGGCGGCGAGGCAGGCGGCGTACGCCCGCGCCGCCTCGCACATCGCCGTCGGCGCGGCGGCGCAGGAGGTCCTCTTGTCTCTCCGCGACTACGCAACCCTCTGCGACGTCCTCGTCGACAAGTATGCGGCGATGCTCACCGCGGGGGACCCGGCGCACGCCTCGCTCGCTTCGCTGTACGTCTCTCTCGTCGGGCAGCACGGCGCGCTGGCGGGAGAGCTGCACCACCGGGAAGCGCTCAGGGACCGGGACGCGGAGGAGGCGCGCGCTTCTCAGCTTCGCTCTAAGTAAGAGCAGGGGCTTACACGGGGGCTCGTTCGTTACCGTACACACCTCTTCCTCTGACCTCTCTCGCGCGCGCGCTCTCCCTCTCGTACGTCGTAGCAGTTCGTACCTGCGACGGTGTATCATTCACTTTATGCCACCGTTGCATATCCGGATATGCAACGGTGGCATAAAGTGAATGATACACCGTCGCAGTACCATCGTGACCGCGTGGCGGGTGTGTGTGTGTGTGCTGTGGCGTGGCGGTATTTTCAGTATAGAGTCATACACACCGGATACCGCCTTCTATTAACCCGATAATAGATCACTTCTCTTCTGTGACTTCTCTTCCTCGTCCTGCTCTTGGATGTTCGGGCTTTTCGGTTTTCGCCCTGCGCGCGAGGGCGATCGACGCAAGTCGCAGCCGGACCGATACGCCGCCCGTTCCGCGTTCGCCGAGAGAACGCGGGGCCCCGGTCACCCGACGCGTAGTCACTCGTAGCGAGCCGGCCAGAGCTACGCAGCACAAGCTATATGCCGGGCAGCACCAGCGCCCACATGGCCTCGAGCGCCTCCGACACCGCCTGCGGGGCAAGGCAAGGAGCAGCGCGGAGGTCGCTCGCGGTTTGAAGGGTGGGCCGGTCTCCCCGGGCAGGAGCACGAGGCGAGGGCATCCTCGCGCGTCTCGCTGTTGGGCAGCTGTTGGGCGGCCCCGGCGGACCTGCAGCGCCGGCAGCAGCGCTCGCCGCCTCGCGGTCACGTCCCGCACGCGAGTCGCCACTCGTCGAACCAGCAGCAGGTTTGCCCACGTCGCGGCGTCGTCTCCGGGCTCGCTGCCTGGGGGGATGTCCGATAGGTGGGGGGGCGGAGACCGCGGCGGGGAAAGGGCGGCGGCGGGGCGGGGCGGGGGGGGGGGGGGGGGGGAAGGGGCCCCCAAATTTCCCTCCCCCCTGGGCCCCCGGCTTCCCCCCTAATCTGCCCCCCGGAACGGCG